CCAGACATTTACTCCCAGACATTTCCCCTTCCTCCCCTATGTTACATTATCTCCCGGACTGTTTCTCCCCCTCCCCCTTGGACAGTTGCCCACTTCCCCCTCCCCTGCCTTTACATCTAATATATACAGTAAATTAAATATAATAAATAATTATAAATTTTAATTTATAATTCATTTAAATTTTTTATTTTACTTAATTTTAAGGAAGTAGTTGTTCCTACAATATTCATTAGTGCAATTTAAAGATAGCAAGACTAATTGGTAAGAACTAATTTTTCCCATTCTCAGTGTTCTTATTTTTTCCCTATTTCAGTCTTAAAATATTCTTATTTCATTCATATTTTTACACATTTTTGGAACACACAAAATTATTATTTTACAGTCTCAGTATATTACTATTGTAGGGTATTACCATAAATCTTAATCCTCCATGGTATTTCTCCGTGGTCACACCTACTACAAATAAGGATAAGACTTGTTGATTATTCTATTTTTTTTAAATGAAAGCCTTCTTTACCTCAGATTCAATTTGTTCTTTATTTTTAATAAGTAATTTCAGCCTCAGTGTTCTTATAAAATGTGTCCTTATACTGTACTGTATATATATTTAAAAAAATGTAATATTAATAGCTTAATGTGTTATTTAATTCATATTGTTTTTTATGTTTGTATAATTATTATAATCTATGTCTTCAATAGCATTATATCATAATTTAATGATGTAATAAAGTATTTTAGATTTTTTGAAAAATCATGTAAAAATTAGAGCTTTGTAAGTTTTTACTTTGTACGGTATTTCTTATACTTTTCTACAATCAAAACAAATTTGTGAACAAATGTTTAAAACTGCGAAGAAGAGCGGTGGGGAGTGAAATTGAACAGATTTTTAAAAGCCTTTAATTAATGTATTAAAACATTCTTCACCAGTAAAAAATCAAATAGAGCAAAAACATAAATTTTACTTCAGACTGTATAAACAGTGTACTCAGAAGTAACATTTTTTACAAAAATATTCTACTAAAATTTTTAAAATAATTTGTAATCTTGCAAGAACACAATATTTTGTATCCCAATGGCAAAATTGATTTATTTTTACGTACAGTAGATCCGACTAAGATCTGTTATGAACAGTGTGTATTAAACCTAGGTAGAAATTTAGTTCAAGGTAAAACAAACTCACTGTATTTTAGATTAAAATCAACCAATTGATAAAATATTTAGCTAATGATAGTTTTTTAGTTATTATAATTTTTTTAATTATAGAATTTCAATGCCGGTATCTGCAAGGTGAAGCCAAGCTTCATTTTAATTGGATAACATTAGTATAATATTCATGGAAAATGTTCAATCATCTCCACTCCCTTGATGACCCTAAAAGTGCACTCTATGTAAATTGTAATTATGTTAAAAAAATTAATCTACAGGTTGTACTGTAGAACAGATCCATGAACATGATTATGGATCATTAAAACAATATTATATTTTTCAAAAACCTTCTATAAACCTATCCTTTCACAACATAAATTTGCCTGCATTTTTTCTTGTATTGGTGACCCTTAAGGTGCACTCTATGTA